CGCGCACCTGCATTTTAAGCGGTATGTAATTACATGGAGTTCTATGGGAGGCGAACTGGTGGTTTAAAAAAGCCGTGTTATACCCGGTCCTGCACTATAAGCGGTTACGTTGTAAGTGGTCTATATACTGTATATGAATGTTAAGCTTCTGGCACACTTTATGAGCCCATTAGTTGGGAGGCCGTATGCCAATTCTACTGAGAACAATTGGCCCTGTAGCACTCTTGAAACAGTTACAATAAACTATAAAAACCTTGGGCTTTGCTAGAGACTATGCAAGACTTCTACAATACATCTAGGAGACATCTTTTTGTGAACTTTACATGCGTCGGAAGCTCCCTAGGTCTATACCCTCATTACCGTCAGCCTCTGTTCCTCTGCCATGTGCAAATAGTCTACAACCGAGACTCATTGCATTACATCACAGAGCCCATCATGGCACTGCATTTTTTTGTTGGCCTGCAAAGTAATTTGATACTGTGGCTGGTATCTGGTGGTGCGTTCTATATCTGACTATAGCAGACATCTTGGGCCAGGCAATGCATTTACAATACATTTTCTAGACGTCTAGAAGACATCTCCATAAAAGATGCAGTGTTGGCGGTAGTGCGTCACAAGTAACGGCGTTACCGGTAACGCGTTACTTTTTTTGGTAACATAGTTACATACTCATTACTTTTCCAAAGAAGTAACGGGTAACATACTTACGTTACTTATTTTGAGTAACGTGTAACGAAATTATGTTACGTTACTTTACTTCCTAGAACTTAAAAAAATTAAATTTTAATTTTTTTTGTATGCTTTTAAGTGCCCAGTCATAAATTCCTCAGTCAAACAATGCCGCTGTCCTCCACTTTTCTTTGACGTCGGTGCTCGTCAGATTTGACGTCGCACGCCACCTGCCACTGGTTTTCTCCCGCGGCTCGTTGACGTCGCTACCGCCGTCGCCTCGGCTGGAAGGCCAAAGAGGTCCGGTTTCGGGTGGATTTGGGAGATTCCTGCGTCGAAGCCTGCGTTTTGCTTCCCGCTGGGAAAGAGAATGACACCTTCGTGTGATTCCCTTTCCCGTTTTCCATGTTATAAATCAGCTTCATATATACTTCCGCGTTTTTTCTTGTAACTATTCGGGTGAAACCCTAAAAAAGAGAGGGTAATTAAGTTTCCGCATGGACATATTTTAGCTATGGCACTTACGCACATATCAAACGTCGAAACAACAAATGTTTTAGTTCTTAAATAAAAAGTAACGCAACAGTAACATGCGTTACTTAACGTTAACGGTAACGCATCCCTTTTATTTTGAGGTAACGTAGGTCGGTAACGCGTTACATTTATTTGCAAGTAACGAGTAACATATTTAGTTACTTTTTTCGGTAATGCATACAACAGTGAAACAATGTCTTATATGACTTCTTTTGGATGCACTTGTGTCCAAATATGGTCTTGAAAGATCTATGCAGTGTAAAATAGCCAGCAAAAAACAGCGACTTTATGTATCAAGCAACAACTTTTCTCGAAGACATTGTTTTCTGGCCCAATTTATCACATACTGAACTCCGAGTACTATAGTTTTTGAAACATTTTCTTTTTTTACATAAAAATGAAATGAGCCATTGTTTCGCTTGACTATAGTCATCCGAGACGGCGGTGTGCGGAAAGGAAGATACAGAAAGAGAGAGAGAGAGAGAGTTATATGTACCACAGAAGGTTGCGATATGTACAAAAAAGCAAGAGTTCAACTATGGTGCCTGGAACGCGTCTTCGACGGGTGTGTTTATCGTGTCCAAAAAAGTGGTTCCTCGATTTGCGTCTGATGACGTCATGAAAGTGTCATGCTGTTGCCTGTCGCAATCCTGGCGGCGCCCCAACAGCATTGGTGGATGTGGTGACGCCTGTTCTGCAGGTCGCTCTCCAGTGTGACAGTCCAGGGAAGCTTCGGCAGCCAGAAGTTGGACGCCGTGACGACAGCGACACTAGTGTTCACTTGTGCTTTTCACCAGCATTTCTAGTTCTACGATCGACCGCCAGGATCGTGGCATTCGACGACATGAGCCATATATTTGAAGAGTCTGGTTGGTGGGTGTGGCAATGAAGATGTTGGAATGTTGGAAAGGAGAATGGTGGGGAGAGCGCTGAAGGAGCGAGAGAGGTAGGAGGGAGCAAAAAGGAGATGACCGCCGTTTTGTCACAACACGCTTTTCGTACAGAGCACTGTTGAAGCTACGCATCGTCTGCTACGGGCCGACTTCTTTTTCGCCTGAATAGAAGTTTGTGGTCAGACGTTGAGCAAACTTCATTCGTTCGCTTTTAAACCCACCGAGGAATAACAGCTAGTACATAATTTTCTTGCTAGAGCCAGCGATGCAAAAGGAAATAACCAAAATTTAGATGACGATCCGATGCATTCCACTGGGCAAATGAATAAAAATGGCGGCCCTCCCTGCTCAGCTGGGAGCATTGTTAGTAAAACAACTTAGTTGGAAAACTACCATAGAGCCTGCTTTGAAAAAGTGGCATTGATCCGTGCTCAAAAACTGAACTAATGGCAATCGCAACGCCATCATTTCTCCCACAGCGGCTACTCTGGGAGCTGCATGTCTGCACGTATCAGTTCAGGTCAAGTCAAGCAAGGGCCGGTGGCACCATCTTGCAGTGCCATTTTGCAGTAGCAATATAATGGACTTTGATCCTTGCGCAGTATATCGAAGGACGCTCTGTGTCAAGCTCGGTCCCATTTGCTGAGTTGGCGTGATCCTACTATGACGAACTCGAGAATTAAACTAATGGCGATCGCAACGCCATCATTTCTCCCGCTGTGGCCACTCCGGGAACTGCACGTCGGCACGTATCGTTTCAGGTCAAGTCGCACAGGGCCGGTGGTGCCATCTTGCAGTGCCATTTCTCAGTAGCAATATAAATTTAACTCTGGTCCTTGTGCAGTGCGTTGATGGACGCTTGGTGTCAAGCTCGAGCAGTCCCGTTTGCTGAGCTGACGACATCCTACTATGACGAACTCGAGAACAAACTAATAGCGATCGCAGCGCCGTCATTTCTTTCGCTGCGGACGTTACTGGAGCAAGCTGAGTTTTGCAGCTCCCTTTTCTCGCCTGCAGAGCCAAGTGGCCCAGGTGGTGGTCACGAGAACTAGCGGCGCTGTAGTCGGATCTTACTTTCCGGTCTCGCGCGTCGTCTACTACCACCAAAGTAACGTTGACTATACCATCGCGTTGAGAGCTTCCTTTTCTTTTTCTTTTCTTCCTTTTTTTTGTTACTTCTATGTGTATCATAGCAAAAAAAGATGATGAAGATAAAGTGTAATATACACACCACAGAGTTCAGAGTCAGCACATTGTGAGTGTTCTTTGAGTGTTTGAAATTTATTTTTGTGTGCATCTGTTTCATTGCACTGTGAAGTGTTAATATGAATCACCAACTCGCCCAAGCTCAAGCATTGCTATTCAGACTTGGCGGGCTGGACAATCCGGAAGTAAGACTTTACTGCAGCGCTGCTATAGTTCTCGTGACCGCCACCGAGCCCACGTCGCAGGCAGATCTGTGAAACTGAGCTTGCTCCAGTAACGTTGGCTGCGGCCATTCCGGGAACTGCACGGATCGGTTCAGGCCGAGTCGTGCAAGTTGCCAGTGGCGCCATCTCGCAGTGCCATTTCGCAGTATATAAATTAACTTTCATGACTGGTCGCTAAAGGATGGCACTGTTATCATATTTAGTTTGGTCTCGGTGGACTCGAGCAATTCGGATTTCAAGGGTGAGTTTCCCAACCGAATGTTTTAGTGACGTTGGCTGGGAGCAACGTTATGCTATGAGCAGCCCGGAGTTCTCGCACATGCTCTTACGCCTCTCACTCAGTGTCGTGGGCTGATCGGCTTACTGGGGGGGGCGTTACGGCGACAAGATCATAAACTGGCTAAATTCTACCAATATACGGCTCTGCGGCATGACACTCCGGCTTCCGTGACGTCATTTGTGGCCACATTGGGACGACTTTTGATGTATGAGAAGCATAAGGTGCTAAACACCACTTGAATGCGCGCTCCAGGGTATAGTACAGGCGGGTGTCACAATACAAAATTTACAGGGGTTTTTTCACCGAAAAAATAAACTACAGTCCGTTGCAAGCTAAGAACGAAGGGCGATGGTAAGACGGGCTGGGGAGGAGGAAGCAGACAGAACGCTGGAGAAGAGAGGGGGAAACCTCCTTCTCATATCTCTTTAACGTTCCGTCTGCTTCCTCCTCCCCGGCCCGTCTTACCCTCGCCCTTCGTTCTTAGGTTGCTCCCAAAGGTAGCGCTAGAGGTCACAACCAGCTGCCAAAGTTTCAGCCCGATCCGGTAACTTAATCAAAAGTTATAAGTGATTTCTCTATGGCACCAGAAACCGAAAACGGGCAAAAATGGGCTCTATTTTCCCATTGAAATTTTCAGAAAATCAGTTATAACTTTTAATTAAGTTATCGGATCGGGCTGAAACTTTGGCATCTGGTAGTGACTTCTAGTGCTACCTTTGGGCGGAGAATGAGCGTTCCGCGGTGCCTAGTTTATTTTTGCGGTAAAAAAGACCGTGGACACCCTGTACAAAATACAATACTCCGAGTCGACGATGACGACAGCTGTCGGGAAGATGTCGAATGACGGACATGTTCGTCAAGCCTATAACAGATGCCGCCACCAGTGCTAATAAGCCTAATAAGCCCACCGTTACTTTGAATCAGAGTGCCAGGCTAGCTCGGTAATAAGTTTTGTTTTTGTGTGTCTCCTCTAATTTTGATTTTCTTTTGCGCTTAAAGATTTATTTTCACTCGCTAAAATGTTGAAACAATAAAATAAAACGAACTTCGGCGAACCGAGTGACTCGCCGAATCGTGGGACTTCGTGCGGTTTGATGTTTGACTCAGCCAGGCGAACCGGTTATGGGTTCGGCAAAAGTTCGCCCTGAGTTTCGACAAACCACGAAGGGATCACGTGGTGATGCAAATACAGTGGAAAGTGGTCGGAGTGGTTGGGAAAGTGGAACGTAACGTGATCGAAGAAACAGTGATTGAAGCGTTACTTTAGTCGACTACTGAACTGGCATACTTACCGAGAAACAGGAAACACGTACCTCGTTTTGTGTGGCGAGCGATCCCTCGCCATCTACCGTGCACTTCGAATTCGCTACGCACTCGGTTTTCGGGCGTCTGACGCTGTTTGTTTTGATCCGATCAGCTGCCTTCCTACGGGTGAGCATGATATGTTGACTTGCTCCCGCGGTTTTACACGAAACATACGCAGCGACGCAGCCGTATTGGCCGTATCTTGTCGCGCTGGACTTTCATCATGTAAAAGGGCCCCACATTTGTTGGCTCTGAGGATGCCCAGTAGGTCCCGGGTAACATTTTTCGTTCCAAAACGTTGCTTACTTTTCATTTCCTCATTCGTGCTGAAAATGTTGCGGAGAATCTAGACTGTGTTTTCTTTGCTTTGCATTTGCGATTGCTTCATGCCTCAAGCGTTTGCTGCGCCAGTTTTCTTAGCACATTGCTTGTTGCCAAGATTGCGAACATTATGTAGTAGTTCAAAAACAGAATCCAAATAGAGTTTTTCATAAAATTAAGCTGCCCATTACCGTGAAATGGTTGTGGTGGTCGTGGTAACCGGTCTATAAAGGCACAGGGAAAGCTGCCGCGGAAACTGACGTTGATCCTTTGTTCATTCTCGGCGAAGCGTAATCAACGAAAATAAAATAATCAGTGAGTACATAAGTGCTAGCGGGTGGGAAAGTCAAGCTGGAACGGAAGTGTTGAGTGGTGTAAATCTAGGCCGACTTGCAATAGAAACTGGCTCTGTTTGTTTTCTTTTTTTGCTTGTTCATGCTCGTATGTCCTCAGTTCACTGAAGGATAGGACCTTCCTTACTTTGGTCAGCTTACAAAATTGGCTGCCTATGCAAGACCAAAGGTTATGTAGTTTGCACCCCTAATCTCCATGACTTTTCGGGATTGCACTTGTCTGCTCCCCGAAAATGCGGCCACTTGGAGACATCTTGCTATTCTGTTGGGTAGAAGATCCAACTGTCATGCCCCCGTAGCTGCTTTATTGGCGCTAAACCCATGGGGACAACAACAAATATGAATTGTTTGTTTTTGTTTTCTGACGCAGTGCTCGGCTGACGTTGACAAATGCTGTGTCAGCATTCGGCTGAGGCTCATGTACAATTGGTGAAGCACCAATTGAACAGGATTCTCAGCCAAACACTGACATGGCGCCTATGTCCAACCTGCATCGCACTCGATCGAGCAAGGTGACATAAAGAGTCTGGACCACAGGCTTTGGGTAGGGTAGAGCGCATTGGAAAACGAGCTGGGCAAAGTGCCTTCCTAGTTCCGTCTCCTGGCCAGTACCTTTAACCAGGTGTAGTGTGTGGGAACTAATTGGCTACGTGCTTAAAGGCCGACATACACTTTACGCTTTCCACTTTTGGACGTCTCCTTCTTTCCTATATCCTCTCCACTTTTTACTTTGCTCGCCTCGCATCTTAGGAGGGGAGAAGCGCTAAGAGGATTATCTCCCCTGGAGAAGACCGAGGTTGTACGTCGGCCTTTAAACATTAGCTGCTGCCTTCAAGGATCTAGGAAAAACTTCAAAAAGTGCAGCACTACAAAAAGGCAGCGTACCTTGTTTCAAAAACCCAGGTTCAGTGCAATTAATGAGCCTGTTTGATGCACCAAAAAGTGATGGTGAAACGTCTCATGCTTTCAAATGCTCTCTACATGAACTAGCTGGATGCTTTAAGCACGTGCGCTTGGCGCTCATGCCACTGGGGGTAGGGAGGGTGTTATACACTGTTGCACCGTAAGCATTCGAAATCTATAAGAAGCTACATATAGATATGATGCATGCAGATGAGTTAGTTTTGGATATTGGGATATCTTATTAGTGCTTTATTAGGTCGGCCAATTCTCCACTCCTCTCTGTTTCCAAAAGTGTTAACATATTTCATTGTTGCATCTGATAGACAGAGTTTTACATAATTAGTTTTGCATATCTTCCTATTTTTTGACAGTGAGAGATGGGTGAACCGCAGGTGATGGAAGCCTTTGAGAAAATGAAGGATTTGTCACACATGGAGTTTTCGTCAGGAATGGAGAGTTCATCAGAGACATTGCTGCAAGCTGAAGAGAGGGTTCAGTTTGATGAAATGGGAACTACATGTTTTGCAAACTGGCAAGAGGTGGAGCTGTCCTTCCGGCACCTTAATGGGCATTCAGTTGCTCCTGGTGACAAGATCAAGATATACAAGTATGGGTGGGAGGATGCCAAAGACTTTGTCATTGAACTCGACTCTTCCACATTTTACATCTGCCCCCTTGCTCCAAGCTATGCAGCTAAATTTTATGGTGAGTACTATACTTCTGAATGTAAGTGTGCAAACAAGCAAGTTTAAATTGAACGTGCTATAAACCCCGCTGCTGCAGGTAAAACACTACACATACTATGAAAGGTCTCGATAGTGAAAGATCTGACCTCACTGAAAGGTCGACAGTGTATGTGTCATTTTTTTCACCTGCAGTCTCAGGGTTTATGTCATGTACTATACAGGGTGACCACCCGTCCCGCAACTTGCGGGACTGTCCCGCATTGAGGGCTTGTGTCCCGCGTCCCGCAAGCGAATTCCCAAATCTTCAAAATGTCCCGCATTTCACACTGTCGTAAAATTCACTCTGTAACTTATGGTGCTGCCGAACAATGGGGCACGGGGAAGCCCGGAGGTCGTTGGTAATCGTGTGAATCGCCAAGGGTACACCATTTTCTATACAAGCATTCCGGGAAGCAACCGTCGTTCTTGAAGGAGAACCGACGCGCACGCTCCGTTGTGCCTCTCGCCTTGGTGGCAAATTATTCTAAGAAAGATTGCTCTCCAAAAGTTTCAATATAAAATATTGTAATTATTTTCAAATCGCTCTGTCAGTGCAAAAGGGTTGCTGTAGATCTTTGTTTTAGTGAACACAGCCACACAAGGCAGAGCCTGCAACTCGGAACGGTTGAAAAAGAACATAATGTTAAAACTTTGTGTTTGACTATGTTGATAAAAGTAAGCGTTGACAGGAAACAATAACCCGAAAGAGATTTAATGTTTCATATTTTTATCTGATGCATTGAGTTCTGCTACAGTCAATATTTATGTTTTCAAGTTCGACACATTTAATAACACATTTACCGTAAGAGATATATTACTTTTAGTAAAAATTAATTGAGCATAATTGCTGCAATACAATTAGCTGGTGTATAAACAGCACATGATGTTAAATGTATTAACAAAGCCTCGGTTCGTGATGTGTGGGGTGTGTTAATGAATTTCCTCTACCCCCCCCCGTGTCCCGCATTTCGCTAGCATTAAGGTGGTCACCCTAGTACTGTACTTCCTTTCCTTGGTTTACATAGTATTGATGTATTTATTTCATTTAGAATATTTTGCAAGCTTTTGAATAGGCACCTGCAGCAGTGGGGTACAAAACAAAGCAAAAGTAACTAATAGGAGTACATAAAGCAACTACAGATTTAATCCACCATTTCACACTTAGATAATCACGCTTATCAAAAAAAGAAACAAGCAAAAGAACAGTGAACATGGTTAAAATTGCGCACAAATAGAAAGGAATTAGCGAAGAGGGAAGTTTGGTTTGAGTGTGGTTTGAGTGGCATGCTCGGGTGCCTTGGTGTGAGTGTGGCCTCGGCTCGAGTTGATAGCTGGCTGTTCTTTTTTCTTCCTTCAATACATCGAGTTGTGAGTTTGCACTTGTCTCTTTCTTCCCTCTTCACTGTTCCTTTCTATTTGTGCACAATTTTAACCATCTTCAATCATTACCAACTTGCCCAACCAACCACCTTACTACAAAAAGAACAGTGCAATTACATTGTCACCATAAACAGCCATCAGTCTGTCGGCCACATTGCATCGTCTGAATCATAAAAAACATGTTTCAAAACCGAACGCCAGGTATAAAATGACATTTGGAATGTGCGATCCTACAGAGTTCTCTTCAAATAATTTGCTGATCACGAGGGAGGGCATTCCTACCAAATATAGCGTGTTAGAAACAAAATACATGAAAATGTTAGTTGTAGCGAATACTGATGCTATGGTGATATCTAGTTTCTCTGGGTGATGATTGGGTAAAATATAAACTTGAATCGATACACAGCTACAGTAAAACCTCGTTATAACAAAATGGGATATAACAAACTAATGGATATAACAAAGCAATCATAATTCCCTTTGCTTGCTAATAGGGAAGAAATGGACATTGGCTATAACAAACTAATGGTTATAACGAAATAATTACGATCGCTCCTTCAACTTTGTTATAACGAGGTTTTACTGTAGTTATAAAAAAGACAAGTTAAAAATATTATTCTCGCAACCTTTCTGCGTTGCTTGACTGGTTCTATAATGTTTGCTGTCATATGGGAGCACACTTTAAGTTTCAACGTAGCAAACCTAATTAACGAGAAGCGGATGAGCAGATGTTTTGAATGTGCTGGGACCAACAAAGATCACTTGGTATCATTACACTGAGATATTTGTATTCATTCAACTCGGGTACTGGGACATTTATGGTTTATTACCAGGAGTACGATAGCAGACAATATGAGCTACAACAAACCTTCATGCCATACCAACAGTTTTATAGGGTGTGCGCCTTGCCACAACGCTATCTTTTTGCTTTGGTGCCTGTAAACGGTTTCTGCTTTCGAAATTCTTATCTGACTGTTTGCCACTTGATGGCGTTAATCGACTCATTACAGCTTCTTGCCTGTAACGCGGCAGTTTGCTTCGGGACCAATTCTTTGTCAAGCACAATCTTGCATGCACCCTTAAATGTTAAATCGTCCGCCATAAAAAATGTCGTTTGACTTTTCTCACATCGTATTCCTCCTACAAGCCTGTCACGCAGAGCATCCCGAAGGAATTGTCCAAGGTGCATTTTCGGTCTATGTGTTCTAACTCGACGATAAAGTCCTCCACACTCACTTGCTCTAGTCGTACCCATCAGTCAAATTTGCACCCTTCAGCAATGATAGACGTCTTTGGACTGTAATGTTCTTTCAAGCAGGTCTTGACTTCTTCATACGTTTTTTTCCCTGGAAACGTGGGAACTAGCAAATTTTGCAGGACCTCATACACCTCTGCCTTGATTGTAACGTCAAAAGCGTGACCGTCGTAGACACGACAGCCACGTATCACCTGACGAGGCGCTTTTGCTGCTCGGTCAGCGCTTACGCAATGCTCAGAGTTCACGTCACAACTCACGCTTTCTTCACTTCCAGTTAAAGAAGCTTTAGTCCTGACTGTGGCTCGAATGTGAAGCCAGGTTCCATTCTTTGAACCCATTCAGAGATCGTGGATTACAGACATAGCAAAGGGCCAAATTGAGTATTCTAGTTCACATTGTCTAAAGTAGCACCTTGACTAGTCTAAGCATGTATATTTAGCTACTCACTACAGTTCAATGGCACGTGCACATTGAATCAAGACCTATACACCAACCAACATCACGTTAAACAATAATGAACTGTCATTGTTCGATGATGCTGTGAGGTTCGCATTTTGCTAGACTACAGGGTCAGGACATCATTTTACTAGCCAGTTTCACTAATACTAACATATTTTCCTGTCAGGTGCATTGCTTGCATCACTGCCGTTGCCTTGCTTTTGCAGTTTCGGAGTTGGATCCAGACTGCATTTACCAGGCCTGCTACATGGTCGGAGATGAAATTCTTGGAAGGAGTGGTTTGTTTCGAATCCTGCCCAACGATGATGCTGATGAGCTGATTGTCCTAAAACCAGCAGAGCTTGCACAGCTCATGAGTTTCAGGTCTTCCTACAGGGTGAGCTTGTAGCAGCCTGCTAAGTAGATGTGAGTCCTTTCCAAAAGGAGGCCGAGACAACTTAAAACCTGAACATTTTTCATAACTCCTGGTGTCTTTGGGTTGCAATAACGGCATATTGCTACATGTTATAGAATTAGGCGCTTATGTTAGAGCAGTTTTGTTGTGGTCTCTTACACATTTTAATGGCTCAGAAGGGAATACCAACGAGGGAGCCACAGTGTCGCTACTCTCTTTGAGTTTGGTAACCAACTCTGGTGCCATTACTTCACCAATGGCATTCATGCCCGCCCAAGTCTTAGTGGTGGTTGATAAGGGGGGAAAGTAGCGGGGAAACAATGGGTGTGTTGAAACATCGACTGGTATGTAGCAGCCAATGTTCTTCCTGGGCCACTCAAGGCATCCTTCTCTTGTTCCATGTTTGATTAGCTTCAGCATTTCCTGGCACAGTTATGATGACTTCAAGCTTCTGTCTGTCTTGTGCAATGTCAGGGGCATGATATTAAAGTTTTGCCCTAAAGTTATTTACTATGATTTCCGAGATACTCCAAGTCAGGTGCGGTCTATTGAGACTTTTATTCCCAAGCTTTGCCCCGTTTACTTGCGCAGAGGGGGTGGCAATGTGGGCTGGCACAGTGGCACTCGTGTTGGAGCCGCATAAATGTCATAAAGTCAACCCTAAGTGCTGTTGAAAGGGAAGCTGAAATGGACTCCTATATTTCCATTTTTCACACTGTGGCAATAGGTTTCACTGTTTTGTATTCAGGAGGTACCTCATGCAACATTTTGTGTCCTTCAGCTGGCACTCTGATGTGTCAGCTCATATTGTCATTGATTGTGCAGTGTAGGGTGCTGTTATACTTTGTTTCAGCAGAACATGGCAAAGTCGAAAGCTGCAGCTTGCGTGACCTAATTAGTGTGGCAGTGTGACAGCTCTGCACAGTAAGAGTGCACTCTCACTGTATAGGCACACATCAAGGTTAATGACTACATGCAAACATGCATTTTCTTCCTGCCTGACGGCTCTTACTATAATTATTCTTACGTCATAGTCAAGTCCTTTCGCAGCCAATAAGCCCATCAAAGCTAAGCGAGAGGTGGAAGGTTAACATTTTGGACATTAAGGCGATCAAGCAATGACTGTGACAAGGAGCAACCGCAGTTGTTTTTAATGTAAAGAAAAAAAACAAATAAGGTGCTATAGTCAAGAAGGTAGCGGCAAATGCCCCTCAAAGGGAATCTTGTATTCCTCCGCCACCAATCGCGTCCCGTTGTTTCTTGTTTCCGTCACGTCACGACCTGCCCGAACCAATCTTGTTCTGGCAAATGAATATTTTCAACATGGCTGCCGGGCAGATTTTCTATGACTCTAGTATCTTGCAGCAATTACTCTGTTTTTTAATGCGGTTTTTCACTTACCCGAGCATACGTCGCTAAGTCGTAACCGCGTCCACCTTTATTCGCAATAGGTTCTGCGCGACAGCGTGAGAATCCAGCGATAGCATTGCCATAGAAAATTTTGGTGCGGGAGTAAGGTCTAGCATCGTACATACGTAGAACGCCGTCTGCTTCTCTGCCTCAGGTTGCGCCTCAACATCGTTGCCTCAGGTTGCGCCTCAACATTTAACGTCGTTGCAACAACAACGACGTTAAAATGCAGTGGTCACCAAACTCTTCTTTATAAGTGTAGTGGGCTGTGCGGGAGGGGCATAAGTGAACTGCGAACACAGTAAGTGTCTTTACCCAATTTCGACCGTATCTTTGCTGGCGTTAATAAATAGTCTGTCTACTGAAATGACGCCTTCAAAGCAGTATGCATTCATCTGTGAAACGTGGCGTCCTTGTCAAGTTTCCGCATCGCAATCAGCTGCACGGTAATGTATGACTGCGATAGTACCCGCGGGTGCACCCTCGTTCGCAATAATGAGCTGTTACATACAGGTGGCACACAAATGATAAAGCCAGTGATGCGTATGTTACAAACATTTAATTGATATTGTTTTGGACGTTAAGAAGCTGATGTCTTCTTTTGGAAGAAATACCAGAGAATTTGAGGGAAGCAGATTCGGTTGTCTCAAGTGCTTCCGAACATTCTGCTTGCTCTCGAGGCGCTGTTAGTCGCATGTTTATGCTTCGAAACCCGGGTACATGACGCGTGTACCTCCACTCGCGTCGCGTTGCGGCCTGAGGTGTTACCGGTAAACACGAACCAATTTTTCCAATTTACTTTAGAAGGAAAATGTGTCCACAATATTGGATCGCAGCATTGGTTTAATAATTTTAAAAGATGAAAAGTATGTCAATAAAAATTGATTGTAAGGGCAGCTTCCCGCTTCATGAATTGTGGCTTTCTTATATGCGAAATATTTGTTTAAATCAAGAATTGAAAACATACCGAATACTCATGATGTCCTGATCTTGGTCCGAATGCAAGTGGCAGAATGATTTGTCTTTATAACAATAAGATCAACAATGTTTGAATCAAGCAACAGCTCAAACCGCCTAATTACATTTCTGATGTATGTTTATCTCTGGATTATACCAGGCCGTAGCCGCGAACGAGCTCTTCAGAATGTGCCATCGTCTTTCTGGTCTACCTTGGCAAAGACAGACTCGTGTAAAAAACATTGAGCTTCTTGGAGGCAACCTTGCAGTCCTCATTGTGAGAGCCTCCATGGAACCATTGGAAAGAAGGGTCCCTGTTGTTTCATCGACATGTTTCATCAACTTTTTACGACTTGTTTCATCGATACTGCCACACTGTGCTGTGAAGTTTCATCGACACATAAATTGCACGCTGTAGGAACATTTTGTTGTGCGTTTATCACTGAAGCACATATTAAACTATCCGACCCACCCAGTTCACGACGCTTTGCGGCGACAGTCTCCAGCAATTCATTACAAAAATGTGGACTCACCCAGCTCACCTGTACATGCCGCTTCGCAGCAGCGTGTAAGGGTGGTCCTGCCCCCGTGCATGTACCCATACCCTTGCTCACCAACAAAGCAGCGCACCCCTTACCAAACAAAGATCTTGTCGACGAAACATAGCAAGATATGTCGATGGGCGAGTGTTGATGAAACAATCTGTTGATAAAACGTCGCAGCGTTGAAACAAACTGTCGGGGAAATGTCATTTGATGAAATGAGTGGCACTGCACAAAAAGCCTGTTCCCGATCCGTGTTACTTAAACACTATCGCAGGCATCATTTTTAGATACCCATTGCCAGAACAAATGCACTCTAAACAAAGAAAATGAATTTCACGCCCCTCTGCTGTTAAAGTTCACGACTTGGAATTAGATAAGGGGTCATGAGGCAAATTTGAAATGGTTCTGGACTGGACAAGATGGACTCATTATCGGCGTTATTGGTGCAAAAGTATGACGAGTACAGCGAGCTTGGGCCTGAGAGCTGAGGGTTAACGTGGGGCTCCCCAAGCCGAGGGGTATGGCGAGTTCACACCGACAGTGGGAAGCGACCACCTACCTATCTGATCCCGTTGCAAGCCTTAGACCTCGGCCTTCAACGGGCTCTGCATGATTTGTCTAATGGGATAACTTCTTAGCACCCCATTAGACTAATCCTACAGTTTCGCTCCAACAGCACATCCCCAGGCCTTCCAGGAGGCGACCCACTTGATCCGGGTGCGAGAAGGGACCCCAAATCGTGACTGGCACTATATAGTTGACCTCTGGGCCAGCTGATGGGACACTGCAGGGGCACCAGCAGAAAATGCGATTACGCCTGTTACAGCCTATAGCATCACAAAACCCAGAAATACCTCCATTCATTCTAAAGCAGCTTTAGAAGCCACCCAAGCGCTCGAAAACAACCTTTCGGTACTTCCCAACTCTGCCCTTGGCAACAAGTCTAGCTGCAATCTGTGCATTGTGGTTCTTATCGGCTTTGAAAACGTTGGATTTAATCCTGTACATTGCACTAGTCCGGAAGGCTCAAAACTGAGGTCTCTATGGAAGACCGCTTCACTTCATCACAGCGTTTCTGCAAGACGGACAATATCAAGCTTGAGCTAGGCCCAGTTACTGGCATTGGCATTCCCCAGATCTCCGTCCTCTCACCAATCCTTCATCAATGTTGTAGCCGACGTTTTCTCACGTCAAGCAATTAGTGCTGTTTTTACGACATATCTCAAGCGAGTACATTGGCCCCTCTTAAATTCAGGAAATCTATGCCGCACTACTTCAGACCGCACTTCGGCGCACAGGGCCGCCTGCTTCTCATCCACCACGAGGTGTTTGCCAACTCGCCAAAGTGCGACCCAAGAGTCATAATGGCCGTCGACTTCAAGGGAACTTTCGACGCGTCTATTATGCTTCGAAACGGAGCACTAGCACTGGCATTTTGCTCTCCACTATGCTAACGCAAGGTATTGTTATTCCCAGGGTGGCCTCAGTCGTGTGAATGGCCACAGACGTCCTAACTGCACACAGTGCTGACAGACGTTACTGTCGAGACCGTTTATAACGAAGTCAACGGGAATTGGAAATCACTTCGATATATCCGCTATTTCGTTATAACCGACTTCGGTTATAACGAAGTGCAAAAGGGAATGGGGAATCGGGATCGCTTCGCTGTAGCCGCTATTTCGTTATAACCGACTTCGTTATAACCGGTCTCGACAGTATTGTTATTCTCAGAGTGGCCTCGGTTGTGTGAATGGCCACTGACGTCCAGTTTATGCTTCGAAACAGGTCATTGGCATTTAGAGTGAGCTGCCCGCAGCGCTGATGCACGTTATTGTTATTCTCAGAGTGGCCTCGGTCGTGTGGATGGCCACTGACGTCCAGTTTATGCTTCGAAACAGGTCATTGGCAGTTAGAGTTAGCTGCCCGTAGTGCTGATGCACGTTATTGTTATTCTCAGAGTGGCCTCAGTCGTGTGGATGGCCACTGACGTCCAGTTTATGCTTCGAAACAGGTCATTGGCATTAAGAGTTAGCTGTCCACAGTGCTGACACACATTATTGTTTCCAGAGG